ACTTAATGACTGAGTTGCCAGTCCCAGTTGTGGTTGCTAAATGAGGGCTACCCATATTTACTTATTGAACTCTGGTTCCAAGGAAAAGCAATTAAGCTCTAAAGTACAGGTAGTCTCCAGTTTAAGAACAAGTTCTGTTCCCAAGGTCTATCCTTAAGTCAAATTTGTATGTAAGCTGGAACGGTATTATTGTATAATACTGTATAAGTAGTATTGTATAATTAACTCGAATCATTGTGTATTTAATTTGAATTTTGCTACAGTAGGCTCCCTTCTTAACTATGGGTCGCCTGTTAACCAGGTATTCTTAATCTGGGGACTACCTGTAAAGTGCTTTGGTTTGCTGCATGTGAGTGAATGGCTAATTTATAAGGAAGCAAGAGAGTGACACATTCAAAGGCCATAGAGATCAAACCTTCTCTATGACTTCAGAATTAAAAATTGGACTCATAAATCCATTCCTGCTGTTTGCATAGCTTCATCCTTGTTTTATGGTTGTATAATATTTGGAAACTGGCTTTTATATTTGCAGATTCTTCTTTTTATAGCTTTTCTTTGAAAAGCTAGTAAGAACTGATTGGAAGCTCTTTCTGAGTAGTCTGAAACAGTAATAAAACCACACCCTCTTGTTTTACTGGTAAAGTAGTTGTCTAAGGGTGTGTCTATGTAAAAGACTTGTCTGAAGTTGGATGTGCTTGTACAGGCTATCTAATCTTATGTAGCTTATGTAAGAAGAACCCAAAGAATCAATTCAGCCTCTGTAATTTTGTTTTTTTTTTACAAGTTGTTAAGCGAGGTATGACTGATTTGCAATACCAGTAGGTCTTTGCATTTTACTCTACCACAATATATGCATACTTTTTAGAAGCCTGCATACCACACATGTTTGCACAGAAGCTGCAAATATGTCATATTTTTATAGTGTAGTGTATTTTTGTTGAGAACTGAACAGTGAATTATGAAGGTTTTTTTAAAATCTCATTTCTGCTATGGCAGTAAATAAATCACTATCAGCCTCAGTTTCTCCATCTGCAGTGTTAGGAAAATTAAGATTTACTATATAAATTAATGTAAGTATTATTGATTTCATTAAGGATTTGCTAGTTAAAATGGTCAGGGGATACTTCATTTCTAGCTAATAAGATAAAAAGAACGTTGGCAATTTATGTCAACTAATATTCAGTATGTTTCTTATCCAGCTGAATGCACATATGATTTATTTATTTATTTATTTATTTAGCAAATTTATATGGCTGCCCATCTCACTGAACATGACTCTGGGTGGTATATAACCAGCAACAATTAAAACAGTATAACGACCATTAATTAAAATAAATTAAATATAAATGAAAAGCAAGATTGCAGGAGAATAACAACCATCTAGGTACAATACAACTGTCTCACGGGCTCCCCATGGAATGCCCAAGGTTGTTGGAAAAACCCTGTTTTAAGGGTTTTCAAGCTTTCTGGAAGGCTAGCAGGGTTGGGGCTAACCTCACCTCAGGGGGAATGATGTTCCAGAGGGCAGGAGCCACCGCTGAAAAGGTCTGTCTTCTGGGTCGTGTCAGATGGAACTTGTTAAGTGGATGGGATTCGCAACATACCCCTTCTGTTGGACCTGATGGGACGAGCAGATGTAATTGGGAAGAGGCAGTCCCTCAGATAACCTGGCCCCATGCCATGTAGGGCTCAAAACCAGCACCTTGAATTGCATCTGGAAGCAGACTAACAGCCAGTGCAGCTCATGGAACAGAGGTGTAATGTGTGCCATCCTAGGGGCACACATAACTGTCTACACAGCTGTACTCTGCACCAGCTGAAGCTTCTGGGTGCTCTTCAAGGGCAGCCCCATGTAGAGCGCTTACAGTAATCCACTCTGGAGGTCACCAGGGCATGAGTAACTATGAATAGACCCTCATGGTCCAGGAAAGGGTGCAACTAGTGCATGACATAAAGCTGTGCAAAGGGCCCCCTAGCCGCGACTGCCACCTCCTTATGCTTATCCACAATATTTTAAATATTTCAAAGCCCTGGAGTTTTCCACTGTTGATACAACTTGACACCAAAAATAAATTCCATATTCAAAAATATTTGCATAAATAAAACGTTTAATATGTTACAGATAGTTCTCAGTTTAAGAACGAGTTCTGTTCTCAAGGTCTGTCCTAAACTCGAATTTGTATGTAAGCTGGAACAGTATTATTGTATAATACTGTATAAGTAGTATTG